CACTTGAGGGTGGGCACTGATGTCCGACAAGAAGGCCTGGCGTGAAGTTGGATCATAGACCCGTGAAGCTCGGCGTCACGTTGTTGGGATTTAAACTCTTTTAGAAGAAATGCTCTCACGTTATGGTCAGGAGATCATACATTTAAATTGGGAGTCCAATGACTAACCCTTTGATTAAAGTGAAAGTGCTTGCTCTTATTTTCTTACAACGGGGTAAATAATCATAGTAGCAATTAACCTTTAAATCATCTTTGCTAATTTTTAACCAATAATGTGACACACAGACATATTAACCCGAGATAGTGTCACACATTGGACCCGGAAACTTTTTCTCCCTAAATTTATCTCACAACTGATGCATTGTTTCATATAACTATAGATATCATTTTATTATTGTGCATGTACACGCAGTAGCACAGCGGCTCAGGATCAGTTCAGCTATCCAATCTGCCCAGACCTACTGAAGAGTCCGGTGACTACAGCTCATGGACACAGCGTGTGTCTGGACTTTATTGGAGGCTTCTGGGGTCAGGAGGTTCAGAAAGGAGTCTACAAGCTGCCCTCTTCACTTCAAGACCTGACATTATTAGCGCTGAATGATGGATAACCTGAAGATGTCAGCATATGCCAAATCTCTGGAGTGTGATTCCTGCACTGGGAGAAAATCCAAAGCCATCAAGTCCTGTCTGGTGTGTCTGGCCTCTTTCTGTGAAACTCACCTCCAGCCTCACTATGAATCTCCTGCCTTTAAGAAGCACAAGCTGGTCGAAGCCTCCAGACGACTCCAGGAGCAGATCTGCTCTCAGCATGACAAACTGCTGGAGGTTTACTGTCACACTGATCAGCAGTGTATCTGCATGTTGTGTATGTTAGATAAACATAAAGGACATGATACAGTATCAGCTGCAGAAGGACGAGCTGACAAACAGGTAACTTTAATAGTAGACAATACAAACTTACATTTACATGATTTGTAGCTGGCGCATGCATGGACACATTTTTGTTTGAATAAATCTAAAAGTCGAAGTGTAATTTTTTCAGAGGCAGTTGACAGAGATGTACAGAGAATCCCAGCAGAGAATCCAGTGCAGGGAGAACAAGCTTCAGGAGCTGAGGAAGGCTGTGAGATCTCACATGGTGAGTTCGGAGATGAAAAAAATAGCTGGTTGCTGTCCACGTTGTTTCAGGATCAAGCGAGACACTTCCATTCATCTACCTCATTTCTCATTGAGGGAAACAAATATATCTTGGGTCAAAAAAGTTCCAGAGTCCATCGTGTCCTTTCTTTCTATGTGTCTCAGGGCTCTGCACAGGCAGCAGTGGATGAAACGGAGAGGATAGTGACGGAGCTGATCAAATCCATTGTGAAAAGACATAATGAGGTGACACGGCTGATCCGAGCTCAGGAGAAAGCTGTAGTGAGTCGAGCTGAAGAAGTCATGAAGCAACTGGAGCAGGAGATCGCAGAGCTGAAGAGGAGAAACTCTGAGATGGAGGAGCTTTCACACACAGAGGATCCCATTTATTTCCTCCAGGTAACAGCACTGTGAAAGCTGCATCAATCAGCATCATTACCAGTTTAGAGACTAAATGGAACGATGTGGATTTTGGTACAAACCCAGCTGAAGGGAAATGGCATACACACTAATAAGTGATCATGGCTGTATATAACTATAGATCTTACTGTATGTTACTACAATATATTACGTTTTTAAACATAAACGTATTTCTATTTCATTCATTTAATATTAATGTGCCATTATTTACCTACATGCTTTTTGTTGTCTTTATTCTTAATTTAAATATGCTGATCTATGAATGTTTTTCAGTGTGAAAGAGTTAGGACACCAAATTCAAATGGCAAACTGATTATTTTGAGTCAATAAACTCTAGAATCAAGAACTGCAAAGTGAGAGAGAGAGAGGGGGAGAGGGGGGGGGAGGGAGAAGGGGAGGGAGGGGGAGGGAGGGGGGGAGACATAGAGAGAGGCAGATAGACAGAGAGAGAGATAGGGAGAGAGAGAGGAGAGAGAGAGAGGGAGAGAGAGGGGGACGACAAAGAGAGATAGGGAAATAGAGAGAGACAGGGAGAAAGAGAGGGACAGAGAGATCGAGAGAAAGAGAGAGAGAAAGAGAAAGAGAGAGGAGAGAGAGAGGGAGAGAGAGAGAGAGAGAGAGAGAGAACATGCCATTGCCAGAACCAGGAAAAGTCACAAACTCTTGCGTTATGAAAGCTGTGTATGATTTCACAATTGGAAACGGTCTGATTTCTCTTCCTGTAAATCTCTGACTCCATGCAGATGTTCCAGTCTGCCTCTGGACCTCCTGTATCTGCAGACATACCCCGCTTCATATTCAGTCCGTTCCACCCTTTCAACAGTGTGCTAAAGTCTGTGTCTCAGCTGAGAGAGAGACTCGAACAATCCCTTAAAGAGCACTTTGAGCAGATATCAAGTAGAGGTAATAAACTCATGAAATAAACACTTTTGATATATATATATATATATATATATATATATATATATATATATATATATATATATATATATATATATATAATACTACTCAATTCTGATTGGTCAGAAGGTGTTGATTATTTTTCTATAACAGCAGCTCTGACAGTAGTGCAGCTGCACATCGCAGGTTCATATTAACAGAGATGGACCTATATGGGAAATATAGAGATAATAATAATAATAATAATAATAACCTTACCTACATAATAATTATTACATGTGTGACGTAAAAACAGAAATAAAGGAAACTGAAAACTGACATGACAATAATGATGTTATTACCGTAGGATAATCGGTCTATCGGTAATTCAGTGGTTGTATAATACAGAAGTGAGCAGAGTCAGAAGTCAGAAGCAGGTCTAGTCTGAAGGCGGTAATGATGGTGCGACAATTTGTTGAGCTTAGCATAGACGCAGCTGATAAACGCGTTTCTTTCTACAGTCATGGAAGTCCAGATTATTCCCCCGGATGACCATAAAACCAGAGAAGAGTTTCTAAAATGTAAGTCTGACTTCACAAATAATAATAAAAACAAACTATTCGACCAAATAAAGGCCATTTCAGAGACGTCATCCATTACTGGATATATAGTGATCTCTCACAAACTGATACGGAATGATTGCTGAGATATGAGATTTTTTAAACGCTAATGTTTTTGTTTTTTTGTCTTCCAGATTCTTGCCAGTTCACACTGGATCCCAAAACAGCAAATAAACACCTCTGTCTGTCTGAGAGGAGCACTGTGGTGACCTACAGCGAAACAGCACAGCTGTATCCCGATCATGCCGAGAGATTCGACAATTACTGGCAGGTGTTGTGTAGAGAGAGTGTATGTGGACGCTGTTACTGGGAGGTGGAGTGGAGTGGGAATGATGGCGTTTCTATAGCAGTGTCGTATAAAGACATCAGCAGGAAGGGAAACTTTGCTGAATGTGTTTTTGGATGCAGCGACCAGTCCTGGAGGCTGCTGTGCACGCGGTCCGACTTCTCGTTCTATCACAGATATAAAGAAATGAAAATCCCAGTAATACCCAGCTCCTCTAGAATAGGAGTGTATGTGGATCACAGGGCAGGGATTCTGTCCTTCTACAGCGTCTCGGACACGATGAAGCTCCTCCACAGAGTTCACACCACATTCACTCAGCCTCTTTACCCCGGGTTTCTGGTTTGTAAAGGATCAGCGATTAAACTGTGCTAATTGGATAAGGTGAGACACAACAGAGGACGAACTCTTTTTGCTTTTAAATGTTTCAATTGCAAATTTCACCTGATGATTGCTGATATTCTTCGTATTCTTCTGTTGAAACTTAAAAAAAAATTTACATTTATGTATGCAAATGAAACTTGGTATAATTACATGTACATCAATTTACATAATTTATAAAAGCAGAAAAAAAATGTAAAAAATTCTTTTGAGCAGTGTGAAACCGGTTCATTTAAAAAATGTTTAGGGAACTAATTACTTCAAAAATTTTAAGTCGATAAATCAATTTACACTTAAATACGACACGTTTGGGTAAAGTCTTTGTTATATTTAAGTGCATTTGGCTTCAAAAGATGGATTTATCAACGTAGAAATTTGGAGGTCATTAGTTTCCTCAAATTTTTGGAGTTAAATGAACTTAACCGGTTTTACAGTGAGGTTGTTAGAATTAAAAAGTTTATTCCACGGTGAACTTTTACAGAAAAGTTTGTTTAAATGTATATATATATATTGCTTAATCAGGGAAATTGGCAGAATACTGTTAAAAAAATCGACCATTTTACAATATAAAATCTTACATAAGTCCAACAACAATAAACTGTTGTTGTTGTTGTTGTTGTTGTTGTTGTTGTTGGGTTTTCTGTTCCTTTGTAGTAAGCTTATAATTAGGAATAGAAATTAACATGTGAAATTTAATGAAAGAAGTTCATCTAGAATCTGAGATTTTATCTTCTGAACAAAACAAACTGAGATTTAGAAATTTTGAGAAGAATAGTTTTAATAATACATGTATTTTCTGCTCGATTTAGCATGGTTTATACATTTTTATAAAAGTTTGTGACATGTATAACATAATCACACGTAGCATGCGGAATTTTCAGTGATAGATGACATGAGGTGACTGTGAAGTGAGTAGCGCTTAAAGCCTTCGTCAAATATGCCATGTTTCAGATAATGCAGTGGACAAAAACAGTGAAATAAACATTTTTCTGTTGAGATTTTCAAATTTGTCCAAAACTCTGAAAAGTATCTTACCAAAATAATCATTTTCACCCGTAGTATCTTGCCTTAAATGATCGCAGAGTCCATCCATCCATCCATCCATCTTCAACCACTTACTCATTTTCAGGGTCACGGGGAACCTGGAGACTATCTCAGGGAGCATCGGGCACAAGGCGAGGTACACCCTGGACAGGGTGATAGTATCGCTGAGTCCTAAAAATCATAATTAAGATAATTAAACTGTAACAGCATACAGCATAGAGTAATAATAAAGACACAGGGCAGGGGTAGCTCAGTGGATAAAATGTTGGACTTCTGATTGGAAGGTCATGAGTTCAAATCCCAGAGCTGCCCTTGAGCCCTTAACCCTGAACTGCACAGTTGTATAAATGATAAGGATGTCTGCGAAATGCATAAATGTGGATTAAAGGTATGGTATAATAATGTATTAAGACTGTGGAATTAATAAGGAGAAAGGCCAGGAAGAACTTAAATTCTCCTTGGGATGCTGTTATAAAAGTTCTGAATGTTTTGTGGTGGGATGTTGGACATTGGAGTTTCTTCCAGTTCTTTGAAGGTAGAAGTAGTTAACTTTCCAGAGCATGCGAGTGATTGGGGAAGCTATGGAAGGTGTTATGAGTGGTATGTATGGGGGCATGATCATGCTTGTATATGGAAATGTCATTATTTGCACCAAAATGCCTCTGGTTCTGTAAAATTGCCTCAAGTCTGTTGCAAACCTAATGCAAAGCCATTTTTAGACCCAGTGATTGCTACAAGAGAACTGAAACATTTCGTGCAAGATTGCTTGTTGCTGGCAGGTCAGCATTGTTGACATTACTGAAGCCGCCCTGGTTAATAACAGAAATTCCCAGAGCAGTCAAGCTGTTTCAGTGAGTTTTTGTTATCAGGGAGCAGAATTGTTTTCCAGTCTGCACACTCACTTCTTTTCAAACATGTTTAAGTCCGTCCCTCAGGGATTTAGCGATTTCGCGATTGCAGAAAGAAATTTACGCAAAATCAAGGAAACTCCGCAATATTCACAGGAACTTGCAATGTCAGCAGATTTGGGCTAAGACACGTCATGTGACATCATCCCAACGCGCCATGGGACGTCGTCACAACTCGCATTCCGAACATGAGTGAAGCTAAAAGGTCTCAAAAGGTCAACAAACATCAGTGCAAAAGACCGTGCAGTGAAATCCTGTACGGACTGGTAAGTTTATCTGGACTTTAAATAAACACAATTATGACATGAAAACTGCCATTGTGTTTTATTTCAAAGCGTTAAAAAAATGAACTGGGAACATTTATTCCACCAGGGGGCAGCACTCATCCACAACACCATTCATGCACAGAACTCCAAGTGAAGTTGTTTTATGTAGTGTTTTACACTCACTCACTTTCAGTAAGTGCTTTAACCTGGATCTTTGGAGCATGAGGCGGTAATATATCCTAGATGTAATGCAAGTCCATCACAAGTAAAGGATAAAAAGTAATGCAACAGAATGCACAAGGATAAAACAACAGTTATAATATTAGATATGAAAATATTAGATATGAAAAAAACAACAAAATAAGAATAAGGAGATTAAAAAAAGTACACAAATATGTGTGTGCATGTGTGTCTGTGTGTGTGTGTGTGTGTCTGTGTGTGTGTGTCTGTGTGTGTGTGTCTGTGTGTGTGGCGGTGGGGGGGGGGGGGGTGGTGGGTGGGTTGTCGGTGGTAGAGTGAATGTTAAAAAGAGAATAAAAGTCAACAGAAAACATGCTCTGTGTTGAAAACATTGTCTGAGTCGCCTCAGTTTGTTCAGCAGCGGTGTGCTTCTGATTGATCCTCTACAACACCGAGGTCTAAAAGGCACCACGAGTTCTCATTTTGCTCTGATGATCTTCCTTCACTCTGAAGCCACTTCAGCAGCTCTGAAATACATATTGACAGTTTAAGTGTGGCGTTTGAATCGGTTGCTATGGCGACTCGGGTCTATACTCATGTCTTGTTTTTTTTAAAATAGTGATTGATGATGATGATGATTATGATGATGATGACTTTGAGTCACCGACGGCCCTTTCCAAAACTATGAACCAAAAATGTCCCTCTTTCGGATGATGACAAGCTAACAGAGGCTGCACCGTATATTTCAAATAAACAAATAAATAAATAAATAAGCAGGCAGACATTTGCCTCCTCAGGCAAGGTTGTGTGTACTCTCCTGCTGCTCTTTTGCCTCAGTGAGCAAATGCTTGCTATTTTACAGTCTACGTTTCAACAGGTAAGATCTGCAAGGAAACACACACACACACACACACACACACACACACACACACACACAATGTCATCTATATTTCACGGGTCTTGCATTTGAAACTCTGCCAGTACTATGTTTTGCTTCGATTTTGGTGGAAGACGGTAGAAAAGAAACCCTTTTACCGACTCAGGTGGGATGTACTGTATATTACCCGGGGTTGTAAACATCCTGGAGTTCTACTGCTCCTTTTCTAGAAGGCAATACCAGTAAAGAAATATCTTTCCAGATGCGTACACACACAGTCTGACATGACGGATTCAGACAATGCTAAAATCCCAGAGATATTCACGTAACAGTGACATTATCTCCGAATGTAAATGTCGAGCAGTAGAATAGGGAGTAAGGCTGAAGTCGAGCTAAAGACATCAGACACTCGGAAGGCTGAAGACGTCTGATGTACAGTAGAGATGTCATCTAATACGAACACATTATACAGTGTAAATAGGTGATGTGTTCTAAATATATACAAACGCAGGCACAAACAGGAGGTGCGCTCTTATTATTATTTTTTCCAAAACAAAACCACGTTTCGGACATTTCTCTGTACAAACTCCCCGAGATGAAGAGGAACCAAACTCAGAAGGGAACCTGTCCACATCTGGGTAACAATGGATAGTGTGGAAGTAAAAGAAAGTTCATTATGGTTTTAACATGAACTATGGTCATTTTATCGTAAATAGTTTCCTGTCGTAATTCTAAAAAGAACGCTTTCCAGAACGTTCCACAGGCCATCTAGTTGAGATGATTAAGTACTCAAGATGTAGCTCAGGAGTTGACTAAAGTTACGTTCTGGTGTTTGTTGCCATTTATTGTTTTATATATATATATAACAATAATTTCATGTTTACATAAAAGAAAGCTTCCAGTCTAAAACCCTCACCCACTTCTGGTTAAGTCTGCGGGAGCACACTGTATTACACCCTTACTATAACCAGATCAGGAGTAGTTACACATAGCAACATCGAAGCACCTAAAAAGTGCGGTAATATGTAAAGTATTGTCGATGGAAAATGTCGAAATACATCTTCATATAACTAGGGAAAAATCAAAAAGCCAGAGGTTCAGTGTGCTAATATTGACACATTTGGCTTTATTAACTTTGAGGCACAAAGGAATGTGTTGAAACATTTATGGCGAAAGGAGCAAAAAGCCAATATTGCTGATAGTTAAAGACTGAATTCTCTCTGCATGCATTTGCATTGTATTCCTATGAAGAGCAGCGTTGCCAAGTCTTCTTTCCGCTCATCATTTTCACATTTTTTTCTCTTTCTTTCTTTCTTTCTCATAGTCAGCAGGTTTGGTTTATTTCTCTACAGGAGCCCTCATCCTCATTTTCCGAGTCCCTAATCCTCCATGGCTTTATCCAGTAATCCCATCATACCCCATTACGGAAAAGAAAATGCACTGCAGAAACTTGGACAGCTCTGTCTATCCTGAATCCCTCCCCCACGCATGTTCCTTATTGGATAGTCCAACTTTATTCCATTTACAAGTCAATGCACCAAATTATTGCTCTTCCACCTGGTACTGAGCTTCTCATCAGAGACTTTCTACCATTTAAGGACCTTTTTCCGCCCTTCAAATTAACACGCAGTGTCATGTTTGCAAACTTTCACTGGAGAGCTTAGTTTCTCTTTGGCGTCCTTCGAATGATGGAGATGACTTCAGAGACGTCGGCCTAAAACACTTTCAAACGTCTGAGTTATTTGGATGACCCGCTGGAGGTCAGCGCACGTCTTGTGAGCGAGTGTATCGAGTCGTCGCACAATTCCTGACCTGAATTATGTAAGGAAGGATGCACAAACATCAAACACAGGAAAAGTTCTCTCCAGTCGCTTATAAAAAATGCAAATCCCTCTCTGTTTTTCCTCAGAAGTTCGGCGCTAATTGTTTCTCTGGAGGACGTGATGCCGTATAATGATTTTCTAAAGATTTCGTGCGGTGTTCACAGTACACACAAGGAGCTTCAAATATGTTTATCCTTCAGTTTTATTTACAGTGAGGAAAATATTAACACGTAAACATGAATGCAGACCACAGAGGGTGTAGGTTGGCCTTAACAGCCGGTAAAACACATAAAAGGGAAGTTTTGCAACACATAAGTATTGAACCCCGCTTGAACATTTTCTACCCTTACAGAAAAGTTGCATGTGAACTTAACGAGTCCATCCATCCATCCATCTTCCACTTACTCCTTCTTCAGGGTCACGGGGAACCTGGAGTCTATCCCAAGGAGCATGGAGCACAAGGCGGGTACACCCTGGACAGGGTGCTAGTCCAGAAACCCCCGCAGCACGGGGAGAACATGCGAACTCCACACACACAGGGTGTGAGGCGAACCTTCTAACCACTAAGCCAGTGTGCGCCCCCATGTTGAAACAGTCTTGACGCGTTTCTCCATATGTGAGTACATACGGTGTATAGCCAAAAGTTTGTGGACACCCGACCATCACATCCATATGTGGTTCTTCCCAAACTGTTCCACAATGCTGGAATCCCACTACTGTATAGAATGTCTGTGTACGCTGAGGCATTATAATTTCCCTTCACTGGAACTAAGAGGCCGGGACCTGTTCCAGCATCGCAACGCCGCTGTACACAAAGCGAGCTCCGTCAACGACATGGTGTGTTACGGTTGGAGTGGAAGAACTCGAGTGTCCTGCACAGAGCCCTGACTTCAACCCCACTGAACACCTTTGGGATGAACTGGAACACCGACTGCACCCCAGACCTCCTCATCACTACCTGATCTCACTAATGCTCAGATCCCCACAGCCACACCCCAAAATCTAGTGAAAAACCTTCCCATGATAAAAATAATAATATTGAGTTGAGCTCAATATTAACAGCAAAGGGGGAATAAATCTGCAATGAGATGTTCGGCTAATCTAATCTAATATGGGGTGTAATGCTCAGGTATGCACAAACATGTGGCCATATAGTGTACATATTAATCACAATTACACGTGAAAAGCGTATGAGCGTGATTTGCGATCCTCGGCGATTTTTTTGTGAAGGTGTTAGGTTGGGTTTCATTATTATCTAG